ATGCAATAGCAGAGAATAAGAACAAAAGTGTATTTGGAGGTTGATCGTTAAAACAGCTGTCAAGCGTGCCATGTGCCAGGCACTATCATTAGTGTTTGTGTGGTTTAATTAGCCCATTTTGTTAAAGAGGAAACTGAGGCAGTAAGTTAAATAAATTGCCAACTCATCTAAAACTGGGCAACCAACCCAGACAACCTGATGCCAGGAACCTTGTTCTGCACCTGCTGTGTCTTACTCCATTGTCACTAGCCACATGTGCTGTTGAGTATTTGGAATGTGGCTAGTATGAAGTATGACCTGCTCTAAATATAAAATAGTCAGATTTCTTAACACTTAATACAAAAAAAGGAATAAAATAGCTCATGAATAATTTCACGTTGATTATGTATTGAAATGATAGCATTCTAACTATATTATTTTAAATATTAAGTTTAATTTCATCTATTTTTTAAAATGCAAGTAATTAATTTAGAGGTGTATGTGCAGAACACATAAGTTTATATTAGTCAGCACTACTAAAGACAGCCTGCCATTGAGCACACAGTCCAACTGTGAAAGAATAGAGAACAGAGTGATGATAGGCCAAAGAAATAAGGATATTGAGAACCGGATTAAACTGGCATTCATATCTTTTCAAAGTTAGTATTCCTTTGAGTGTGATCCATAGCCATTGGCCTCCGAATAGTTGGATGGAGAATATTAGTAAACACACGTTTACTAGGTTTATTGATATTTTCTAAATGCAGACTTCCTGAAACAGTCCCTGAAAGTGGCATCATCTCTACACTGCCAGCCATTCTTAACTCATTATTTCAGTTTCTTTTTTGCAAAGGTTTTCAAGCTACCTGGAGAGGGAGATCTGCAGGAGGTACAGATTCTGATTTTGTGAATGCAATGAATATGAATGCTTTTTCTCATTTTCTGATCAAGTTCATTGGGTTGTACTTTAACAAAATGAAAGACACAGGCAGTTGATGACAATGTCACTTAAAAAATTGCTTTGGGGATATCCAGTGGTTGCTACTTATTTAATAAATAGGGGGAAAAGCAGTTAAAATTACCCGATTATTTGTAGTCCAGCCTTTGACTGAAATGAGTGCCACATAGCTCAGTTAGCAAACTGGATGACTGCCAATGGCTGTGTGATACAGTTGTGGGGTTTGGAGTCTTTACAATGGACCCAGACTGCCCTAAAGTTTTCTGTCTTGAGTGTCCTTATTCTATGATACATGTTGTTGCTTTGATTTATCTTTTTAGTTATACCAGGGCTCTCAAGTTTTCCTAGCCTATAGAATATATTGATGTATTTATTCTTCTAAGAAACAGTCATAGTGAACTGCTTTTAGCTTCTCTTTACGATAATTCTTTTGTGTGTGTGGTACTGGGGCTTGAACTCAGGGCTTTCGCCTTGAGCTACTCCCCAGCCCTATTTTTGTAAAGGGTTTTTTCAAAATAGGGTCTCGCAAACTATTTGCCTGGGTTGGCTTTGAACCACAATCCTTCGATATCTGCCTCCTGAGAGCTAGGATTACAGGTGTGAGCCACCGGCACCCAACATCTTTATAACAATTGATAATAAATTAAGCAAATTAGTCATATTTGTTCATGATTACACGAAATTTATAGATTTCAAGGTCTTAGGAATATTCCATGTTAACATAAAACAGTGCCTCAAATTTATGTTGAACATAGTGCCTTGGTCACCTGTAACCTTAATCAGTGATTAGTTAAGAAACATTGCTAACCATATTGATGGAAGAATATTATCCTTCATGGAAAGATTTGCAGAAGGAAAAACTATGCCTGAGTAAAATTCTTCACAGGAATGTAGTCTTTATTAGATATTCATCAGCTATTTTTTCCAATATAAACAATCTTTTTCCCCAAAGAGTATGCTAGGACTGCTTGCATAATTTGAAGGCATGAGAAACAACTTTGGTAAAGGGCTGGCATTCTAACACTTTTTAACAGCTGACAATAGCTGTCAAATAGTAGCTTGCAAAACAATATCAAATTATTTTCAACAGAAGTTAAGAGGCCTCAAAAGTTACACCACTTGCATTGAGTCTTTTCCTTCAGTTGAGAGAAGCTTCCTAGTCAAGCTTTCCACCCATTGAAAAATGGGTAAGCTTTCATGAGTACAAATATCTTGTATAAAGTATTCCTCAAAGTCTTTCTCTTCTTGAATGTTTTAAATTGTGGCATAAAGAAATAGTCTTTGCAGGGATAGGAAATCCAAATTCTCTCTTCCGTTTGATTGTATGAGTCATTTCTGAATTGAGTCAGGTACTTTTTATACCAATATGAAGAAGAAATAAAACATTTTTTTATAGTTTTGTATGCTATTCAACAGCTCAGACTGAACTATTTGAAGGTTTTTTTGCTTTTGTATATCCAGCACTTAGTACAATATCTAGCACCTGCAAGATGCTGTTTGATGAATGAATGAATGATTAGCTGACTTTCCTGAAAGGCTTTTAATTTTGTGTGGTCTTCTTGATGTTCTGGTAATTTGATATATACATTATTTTTAATAGCAATTTAAAAAGCAAATCATGAGCATTAATTTCTTGTACAGGAGACGATTAAAACTGTAAATGGGAGGCCTGGTTGCTTTCATTATCCCACAGTAACACAGTTGTTTTTGGTACAATGGGAACATGAATGAGGAGATTGCCTAACAATTATAGCCAAAGAATAAATTGTAGTTTTCTAAGTTAAAAAGTCTGTAAGTCTCAATATCACAGGAATGTTTCTACTTTAAAATAATCTGAAAAAGAAAACTAAAAAAACCCCAAAAAACCCCAACCAGTTAGAGCTCTCTTACTTAGTCCTAAAATGTAAAGCCCACCGTTCCCTCATCTTCTCCTTCTTCATGAACCTTAGCAGGAGTTAAGTGTAGCATAATTAATTCTTAGGAGGGTAGGCTGTGAAATTCAGAACTGAATTCAAGCCCCACTGTGCCTCTGACTCCTGTGTGATCTGGTCACACCACTTAAACTCTCTACAGAATCTGCTTTTCTCACTGTCACATGAGGATGATAAAGGACCCTTGTGCTGTTTAAGTTGAGGTAACGTCTATAAAGCAATTAGGCATATAGAAATGTTGAGTGTGTACTAGTTGTTATGTGTGTTGCATCTTTCTTCCTCTCTGCCTTTTCTTATTCATGTTGACTTTTCCCCCAATTATTTTGAAAGGTTTCTAGCTACTATTTAAAGGTTTTTGTTTGTTTGTGGTGTTGGGGATCAAATGAAGAGCCTTTTGCATGCTTGGCAATAGCTCTGTCATGGAGTACAGCCTCAGCTCAATTTTTTTTTTGTATACCTCATTCCCTTGTCCAAGTTTCTGTAATAGTGGACTCCAGAATTATTACAGCCACATGTTTCACAGTTACAGTTTTGTTTATCTCCTATACAAAATCATAAATTCTTTAAGGGCAAGAGTGTGTTTATATTTTAGTTCCTTTTACAAGGTTTGGTACGTGGTATTTAGCAGAGTAATTGTTAAATTGTTAATTGACTTGTATATGGAAATTTGTAATTGTGCAGTTTTCATCAAATGGTAGTGCTATTTTTAGACTAATATATGCCTACCAATGTACTTGTGATGTTAGGAAGTATTATTTGACATTTCAGTGCTCAAGATTAGACTACTGTTACTAAAGCTAATTGAGTAGTGATTCCAAGTACCAGACTGTAACAAGTTTTTTTTTTTTAAATCATCTCTGTATAATTGATTTTGGTAACTTTTAGAACTGTGTAAGTGAAGTTCTGCATGCTTCCTTCCTACTGTAAACCATCAAGATCAGTCCCCTTTTTTGCTTTCTGAGACAGGGTCTTGGTATGTACCCAAGCTGGCTTAGAACTTGCTATGTAGCCCAGGCTGTAATTGATCTTGTGATCCTCCTACCTCAGCCTCTTGAGAGCCATGATGACCCCTTACAACAACCCTACTGGTTATAAGTACTATTGTTTTTTCGTGCATTTGTAGTGAGAAAACTAAAATTTAAAGGTGGGGGTTAACTTGCTTGAGATTACAGAGCTAGATCCAGATTTGAACAAGCATTAGATACTTTGTATTTATTACCACAAGTCAAATTAAAATTTGATAAAAATTCAAGTAAAACTTCGGCAGTCTGAATTGATAGCCTAAAGTTTTATTTGAACTTTATAAAGTCTTTAATTTGAGGTAATACATATAAAGTATCTAATCCTTGTCACATTTGTTGCCCAAAAAATGATAGTTTTATTTCTTCTTCTGATAAATTCCAAGATAATTGTATAGAAACAAATAACATGAGCAATTTAGGGGATGATACTCTTGTTTGAGGAGTCTTTTAAATTCCTCATTGTCTTATTTTAGTGAACATGATATTTCAGTCCAGGAGGATGTTTCCATATGTAAAAGACAGAGTATCAGAAAAGGGTGCTGAATAGGTGGCTTGTCTTGTTTCAAAATTTAGTTTTCTTTTTCATGGATACATTGTCTTCCCTACCACCCACCCCAGCTGGGGGTTGAACCCAGGGCTCTGTGCATGCTAGGCAAGAACTCTACCACTGAGCCAAGAAACAGTTCATTGTCTCTTGTCTTATCAAGAAACAATTCATTGTTAGGGCATTTGTGTGAAATTTTAGGGTTTTTGTTTGTTTGTTTTTGTCACCGCTTATTTGTCTAATGTCTTATGTAACAAACATCTGTCATTTAAAAAAATTGTAGTGGCTCAGCCACTCCACCAGCTTAACAAATTTTTTTAAGTCACCTACGCAGTTTGATTTCAGTGTAGATATAGTTGTCCAATATCTTAGGATTCAAGTAACTTGCACAGAGTTCTATTAGTACATAGAATTGGAAAGATGTTTACTGATTGTTACTACATATAGCACTATCCAGATATAACATAGTTTAAAATTGGTTCTGTTATTTGTAGAGGAAATGGTTTTAAAATATTAAAAATCCTATGTTTTATGCACTTTCTTTTTTTTTTTTTTTTTTTTGATAGGTAAAACAACAAATTGGGAAGATGATGGTTGGGGAGCATGGGAAGAAACAGAACCCCAAGAACCTGTAAGTCTTTATAAATGTATGTGTAGTTTTTAATAGTGGTATTTTCCTTTTGTAATGATAGTAACATATTTCAGTGTTATGTCACAGACATTTTTATGTTTACTTATTAGTACCTAACTAGATTCCTACTTGTTTTTTGTTGGTTGTTTGGTTTTTCATGTGTACAGTATTGGGAATTAAACCCAGGGCCTTGCGCTTGCCAGGTAAGCACTCTACCACTTTACCTACATCCCTAGCTCTAGATACCTGCTCTTAAAGAACTTGATGACTTTGTTACTAAGTGGTGTTTTAGTCTGTGTTGTAGCAAAATGTTTGAGACTGAGTAATCTATAAAGAACAAAAACTTAATGATTTATGGTCTAGAGTCTGAGAAGTACAAGTTTGAGGGCCTGACATCTGGCAGATGAGGCAGAGTAAGGGAAAGAGAGTATGTGTGTGTAAAGAGGGCCAAGCTCCTCCTCTCATAACAAACCTGCTCCTGTGATAACAGACTCGTCCCTCGTAGAGACATTAATCCATTCACTCTGCCCTCATGGCCTAATCACTTCTCATAGGTCGTACCTCCCCACACTGTCACATTGTGGAGTAGAACATGCCTTTTGGTAAGTATCCCCTAGCAATGGGATAGTTGGAGAATGGGTTGTGTTAGGATTCTTTTTTGTTTGGTTGGTTTTTAAAATTTTTTTTATTTGTTGTTTTATGATTCTTTATTCTTCATAACTTACTCTTTTAGAGTCTTAATTATTTATTCAACAAATCTTGGCTGTGCCCACCATATTAAAGGCCTTTGTGTAGGTGTTAGGAACATAACAGTGAACAAGGTAGACAAAGTCCCTAGATATGTTAACGTATTTTCACCTATAAGCAGTGGAAATCTAACTTAAACTGCCTTAAACAACAAAAAATTTTATTAACTCACACAGAAGATAGTTTAGAAATAAGAAAGCTTCTGGGTTGATCAGGTGATTCAACTGTGTCAAGTTCTTCTCTTCTGTCTACTTTGTAAATAGACTGTTATTCTCTCAGATATAGTATGGCAACATGTTTCTTCATTTGTTACCAAAAAGAGAAGACTCAGACTTCCCATTAGTCTTTAGAAGGAAACAACTTTCTTAGAAGCCTTTAACAAACCTTGAGGTAAATTTTCCTGGCCAGAACTTGGCCACATGCTCATTTCTGAACTAATCACTGGCAAACGATACCAGATTTTCATTAGTCTGTCATACCATTCAATGGGGTTAGGGGATAAAAGAGTCAACTTCTCTGGCTACACAGAGTAGTTGGTACTTGAACAACATTAGGGTCTTTTTTTCAAAGAATGAATGAACATATATACTAAATAGATCTTCTTACACTCTCTGTTCCCAGGAGCTTACACTCTACTGGGGGAGAGAAAGAGAAAAGAAAGTTAGGAGAAAGTTGTCAGTAATATTAGGTATGCAGAGAATTCAAGTGGTTATGTGATAGCAAGTGATCCAGTGACTACTATACATTGGGTGGTCAGAGGATGTGACATTTAGGCTGAGTCCAAAAAGACAACATGTGAAGATTTAGCAAAGAGTATTTTAGGTCAGGGCAGCCACTTACATAAAGTCATTAGGCAGGAAGGGCCTTTTTTTTCTTTTATTATTCATATGTGCATACAAGGCTTGGTTCATTTCTCCCCCCTGCCCCCACCCCCTCCCTTACCACCCACTCCGCCCTCTCCCTCTCCCCCCCCTCAATACCCAGCAGAAACTATTTTGCCCTTATTTCTAATTTTGTTGTAGAGAGAGTATAAGCAATAATAGGAAGGAACAAGGGTTTTTGCTGGTTGAGATAAGGATAGCTATACAGGGAGTTGACTCACATTGATTTAGGCAGGAAGGGCCTTGAAGTTTGAAGGGGCATAAAGGCCAGTGTGGCATGGCAGGACTGAGAGACTGCTACAAGAAGGGTCAGAGAAGTAAGAAGGCCAGACTTAAAGCTTTGTGAATTTGGAGTTTCTTCTAAATGTGATGGGAAAATACACATCTGATTTCTGATTTCTACAGCTTACTTTGGCCTTGTGGGGAATGGGTTGAAGTAGGGAGCAAAAGTGTAAGCAGCGGGTATGATGAGGCAGCTGTTGTAGCAGTTGAGTTAGAAAATAATGGTGGCTTGGCTAAAGTGGTACTGATGAAAATAAGAAACAGATGGATTCTGGATAAGTTCTAGAGAACACTAAGACTTTCCAATGAGATGGTTGCTAAGGATGAGGAGGAAATAAACGATCAAGAGTAACTTCTTTGATCTGGGGTGTGGTGTGGAATAAATAAAACATGATTGGTAAAATGTTGCAGCTTCCAAAAGATGAGCATTAAGTACTATTCTCTTTATTTTTATTAATATTAAAAAATATCTATAATAAAGTTTTTTTTAAAACCCTGTACCAGATATTTGGCTTGAGCAACTGAGAGGATGATGTGTCATATTGAGTTGGGAAGGATGAGGAAAATAATAGGTTTGAAGGAAAAATTAAAGAGCATCCTGTGCTAAGGAGTAGAAACATGCTCATATAATAAAGATTTATGGGACGATCTCTATGTGCAGATTAAGAACAGGAAACCATTCCAGAAGACCTCTGGGAGAATTGGAATGTGTTGAATAGTTTAAAATCCTATTCAAATATTGAATGTCTCATCATCACAGCAAACGAACACCCTGTCCCTTGCTTTTCTCATGCTGTGTGAAAATGGATACTCAGCTGCTCTGTCTTTGCCTTTATTAACACTGGCTTCTGCCAAAAAAATATGTGAACTAAAGGGGGAATTTTCCACAAAGCACTTAAGGAATGGCCTCTTTCCCTAGCCTTGTTTGTGTCATTGCACTGAGCATTGTTTTTATTATCACTATTTGCTTTCTTTTATGCCTCTTCTATTAGACTGTGAACTTTTTGAGATTAGGCTGGGTCTGAGTAATAATAGGATCTTAGAGCAGGTGCTTCAGTGCATGGTTTCTGAAAGAATGTGAAACAGTACCATTTTAAACTATAGAAAAGGGGAGCCAAACCCAGTGAAAATTGGAACAGAATAAGACATGACACACAAAAATACCAAATGTTTCATTAATCATTTAGGTTTCTAGATATCTTTAAAGAGACTCCCTTTCATTCCTGAGTTTGGTAATTTGTATTTTCTCTACTTTTTTCCTTTGGTTAATCTACCTAACTTTTTTCAATTTTGTTAATTTTTTTTTTCAAAGCTGTTGGTTTTAAAACTTACAGTTTCAATGACTTCTGTATTGTTTTAAATTATAGCGTTAATTCTCTTTGAGTTTGATTTGTTCTTTTCCTAGCATTATCTATTTATTTTCTTTAAATATATTTTATTATATCCATGGGCAGTGAAATCCCAACACATATAAATATAGACCCTGCTAAGTGTTTGATAATACCAAGCTTGTATGCCTCAAGTATGGTTTTAAGGCCAGCAACCTCAATTTCTATCTTTCTGTCTGGGCCAGGGCCCAATCTTGCTTAGTGAACAATTCTACTATTTCTTTCCTCAATCCCAGCAGCTTCTTTTCATTCAGTGAATACATACATTTCTTTTACTCTGCTCTTTTCTAGATTGAAGTCTAATTTGGTATATGTTTGGGCTTTGATCACTTCATCAATTATTTGTTTTAACTGGCCAGCTGCAGGGAGGACAACATTTTTTAGCTTCTTAGGTGACATTGTAGATTACTTATTTAAAATCTATTTTCTCTCCTAACATAATACTATAAATTTCCCTTAAAGCAGTGACTTAGCTCTGTCCACAAATTTTATTATGTTGTGTTTTCAGTTTCATTCAGTTCAATTTTCTGCTTTCCCTCGTGATTTCTGTTTTCATCTGTATGTTAGTTAGAAGTATAATGCTTAATTTCCAAATATAATAATCTATCTTAATGGAGTGGAGGGGGACTTATCCTAAGACCCCCTGCACCTGAAACTCAGATTGCCTGAAACTCAGATAGTATTGAAACCTATACAGACTGTTTATCCTCTACATTTGTATCTATGATAAAGTTTAATACATAAATTATATACAGTAAGAGATTAACAACAATAATAACAAAATGGAATAAATTTAATAATATATCATAATAAAATTGCCAGCATCATTTCCTTTGGGCTTTGGGACCCATATTAAATCAGGGCTACTTGAACACAAGCCCTGTGATACCCAGATAGTTGCTCTGATAACCAAAATGACTGCTGAGTGACTAGCTAGTGGGGAGCATGTACACAGTGGATACACTGGACAAAAGGATAATTCACATTTTCACCATATCAGGGCATGTTAGTGTGGGACAGGGTGAGAATTCATCACGCTGCTCAGAACAATGCACAGTTTAAAACTTATGAATTGTTTATTCCTGGAATTCTCTGTGTAATGTTTTTGGACTGTGATTGACTTCAGGTAACTCAAACCACAGAAAGCAAAATTCAGGATTAAGGGGACTACTGTATTTGGGAATTTCACAGATTTCTTTCTGTTGATCATTTTTAATTTCATTCTGATGCTATCAGAGAACATACTTTGTATTCTTCCAAACCTTTTATATTTATTAAGACCTGTCTTATGGCTTCATATGTGGTCTGCCATATATAATGTTTCATATATATGAAAAGAATATACATTCTGTTACTGATGAGTAGAATTACAAATTTCAATTAGGTTAAATTGGTCACTAATGTTCATGTCATCTATATTCTTCCTGATTTTCTTGTTTTTGTTCACTAATTTTATCTGTTCTTTCTAGTCTTGTCAGTTTTTGCTTCGTGTATTTTGGGATTCTGTTGTGAAGTGTGTATACATTTATATTTGTCATATCTTCCTGATAGTTTGCATTCTGAAATACTTCTCTTTGTTTCTAGTGGTGCTCATTATGTTCATGTCTGTTTTGTCTAATATTTAGCTACTTCACCTCTCTTTAGGTTACTGTTTTTCATGATGTATTTCTTTTCCATCCTTTTATCTTTAATCTATTCTTTT